CAAGCATGTCTCTTTTCTTCTCACTGGCAAGTGGAAGGTGATAGCAATTAATGTAAGTTGAAATCAAGAAAATAGATGTAGATAATAGGTGTAGGTAAGAAAAAAGATATATGCTTGGCATAACTGAGGGCAATAGGAAGTTACTTTGCATATATAGCAAGAATACACAACCTCGTAAGAAGAGTAATGGTCCTATACTAGGTAGAGATGCTGTAAGAATCAAGAATTAGCTGAAAAGGGAAAAGTGTTGAACAAATATTCTGCTTTATGTTTGTGGAAAAGCCAGATATATTCAATCCAATAATAAATAGCTCTCATTCACAGTAGCTAAAGAGAATGTTAAACAATAGCTATTAAAGTTAGATGTTTTACAATCGACATTTCAGCTTAAGTTGCATCTAGGATTTTTTGAAGAGCTGGTCTATGAGTACTGTGGAACATTAAAGTTGATTTTTTAATAAATCCTTTAAAACTGGGAGGGTTCCAAAATACAGCAAGAAGCTAACTTTGTGCCAGTACTTTTAAAGGCTAAGTGGCAAAACATGAATAATTATAAGTATGACATCAATCAGTGGAGAATATTGCATAGCATACAGGGGGCTGACTAATAATTATTATTTGTAAGTATTAATTATCTTTAATATTATACATCATTTGACCCCATGTTAGCTAATAAATTTAAAATGGGTCAGTGAAATGAAAGCTGATATGTGTGTTTATTGATTTAATCAAACTGAATATAATTTTTTAATGTATTATCAATTAGGTTTACAAAGATAATGATGTAAAGGTAAGAAACTCTTAAGAACATTTGACTTGGCTTCATATGTCAGCCTGGATTCATCATCTGAATTATGCAAAATCAAGGTTAGATTTGTTACCATCTGTAAGTATCAGCAGTTAATAGACTAACTATAGTCATGCCTCATGACTGAATATTGAAGCCAAATAAATTCAGGTTAAAAATAAGGTACATATGTTTGTGGGGAACGAGGTCATGGAAAAAATTCTCCATTCTGGATGTTTTTAAAGGAAAATCTAATGTAACTAGTTTGGGCAGTAAATGTGGAAAGTGAGGAGGAGCACAGAATCAGCAGAGGCAGCGATGGGGAGTTAATTCCCTCTGCTTGCCAGTCTGCATGCACAGGCAGCAGGTATTCTTTCTCCTCTTTCCCCATTTTCTTCTCACATTATTCCCCTGATTTTGCAGCCAAAGCCTTTCTGAGCCCCACTGCAGAGGCACACACGCTGCAACTCTGGAGCAGTGGCAGGTTCTGAGCTTGGCAGTGAGCACTGCTCAGCCTGAATTTTGTAAAAGGTGAGAAAGGATCATCACATTTTTAGGTACTTTGGAGGTCTTCATCAAAAGACAGGTGTCCTGTCCATCACACCAAACCTAGACAAGGTGGCCCAATCCTGGAAGAAACAGGGAATTAGGTCTGTGTTTTGGTCCAAGCCCCAAGAGTCATGTCATGTTCCTGTGTCCTCCTTGGCCTCCTCACCTCCATGCCAGAGGGACAAGGAATGGATGCCGAGTTCCTTCAGGGGCATGGGATGGCCCTACACTATCCCAAAAGCCTTCCCTTCCCAAACAACTGCTCCCCATCCCCTGGAGGGGAAAACCCATAAATCTGGTGGAAGCATCAAACCTGTGGGTCTGCCCACAGGTCATGGGCAGGATAAGGCAAACGGTATCAAATATTTTCTGTGTCAGGATGAAGTCAAAAGGATATATCATTGAAAACACTTTACTTTCTTTACACATCTTCAGTGCAGTACTCTAAAATCAAGCCCTGCAGTATCGTTTTTCACAGAAATGGTTCCTGTAGCCTTTGCTAAGTGTTTGGGCAGTAAATGTGGAAAGCGAGGAGGAGAACCAGAGGCAACAGAGGCATTGTTAGGATTATTATTAGGCTTCTAGCACAGACTAAGACAAAATGAATAAAAGGCAGATAAATATATATTATCTATACTTAATATATATTAACTGACTTTGTTTAGGGAAAGCTGTAGGTCAACAGCAGCAAATTTAAATTAAAACAACAGAAATATTGGAGAGTTGAAGAGATGTATGAGAAGAAATTTGAAAGTATGGCTAGGCAGTTGCTGAGTGTAGAAAATGGAAGCATGACAGATTTGTAAACCCAGGGAAATGAATTAAATTATTTTCAAAAATAATATATACTTATTAAAGAAAAATTTGGGCCAGGCTGCTCTTACAAGGAAAATTGTGTCACCCTGATAAATCAGTACTCCAGCTGACACTGAACTAAGCAGAGTTCTGTGTGAACATGCTGTGAACACTTCTCTGCTTATAAGGCAGAGGTGACCTAGAATCCATTCTCTCAGGCCTGCAAGTGAATGAGAACTGACTTGTAACAGCCTTTAGGGGAGCACTCTCTAGATACTGCAGTTGGAACAGGAATATTCTGTGTTGTAAATGAGAGCACTTAGGCTACAATTAGCGTCACTGAATTTTACAATTTATTGCTGGTAGTATGAGGAATGCATTACAAGTTTGCAAATCCAAAAGGAGGCTTATAATTTCATACATGATTCTATTTCTTGTAGTGGCCTTACTAAATCTTATTAGTTTTGACCATGGAAAAAATGCAATATTCCTGTGACTCTTCAGTTAACATGCACCGCAATCTCGCAAGTTCCCTTTTCATTGCACAAGGGTCTGCTTTACATCTTTATTACCTATATCCTGGGTTATGATCTCATTGGAAGGAACATCCTGGATCAGTGACTAACAGCATCATGTCACGCAGGGCCACATAATCATGTTTATCTGTGTGTTAGTGACCACCTTAATAGACAGTTTGCCCCTGCTACTTCAATAATGAACACTGTCCTAGGCTGTCAGCTCTTTGATGACTGGGAAACAGTTGCAGGAAATTTGTATGTATAGTTTTGCCTTACCATCAGGGAATACCTATCTTGTTTTTCTTTTCTGTGACCTGGAATCTTAATTTTGTGTGTAACCTTGCTGAGGTTTAGGAATGGTGTTCTTCAATTTAGTAGTCCCACTAAAACCCTGCACCACTCCCCTCCCCCCTCCAATTGGAGGCACAAAGGGCAAAGATCATGCGTTGAGATAAGAACAATTTACTGGATACAGCAATGAGATAAGAAACAGCAACAACATTAATAACAAAAGGTATAAGAAAAGAAATTATTCACATAGAAAACTTCCTATGAAAACTCTCTGCCATGTTTTGTCGACCAGAAGGAACCTTTTCTTCCCTTTATCCCACCCCCAGTAATGATGTGAGGTGGTATAGAATAATATCTGTACCCTAGCTATGCGCCCTCCCACATACTGCAAAAAATTAACCCTGTCCTGGCTGTGATCAGGACAAACTTGAGCCTCAGTTTTAGTGTATCAGTTTCAAAATTTACTGTTTTCCTGAAAAATATAACTCTGGCAAATCTGGGGAGGTGTGTCCACTGTTTCTAGAGGGAACAGTGCCATGCTTCTCTTCCACCTTGCATCAGCATTGTCAATAATGAGAGTAAAAAAACCCTAGTCAGAGTTTAGGTCTCTTCCTCTCTGCCTTAGTTCTTTCCATGCAGAATACTTTGTCAGTTGTCATAGAGAAGCTGATTATATTCTTCAGAATGTTTTTCATTCATCCATAAGTCTGGTACTGTATTTCACTATTATTATTTTACAAAAATATAATTATGTAAATATCCCAAACTATCAGCCAAAGACTGCAGAAAACCAAAGGTGGAGACAGCTGAGCGTAAAATACCTGAAGGCACTGTGGAGAGACAGACTAATGGAAAGAAGGGACAGGCAGATTTTGGAAGAACCAACTTTTAGTGGACCAGTGGCTCTAGGAAGCCTTAGTTAAACTTGTGTTTATGTCAGTTGCCCATGTGTATAGCCTGATTTGTGATCCAGCATTTTTTTGACTAACTGTCGGGTTATATATGTGAACAAATTCATAGTCTGTATTCTTTTCCCTTTTTTTCCCTACTTTACTGAGTAGTCCAATTGAAATGAAATTTTGGGAGAGGTTTACCCAAGTCACAAAACACAGTGTCTTGCAAGTAGTCTTTAAATCACTTCAAGCTCCCTGAGCAGTGTGAGGTTGGTCCTCCTAGAGATGTGTTGAACCTGAGATAAAAGCTTTATAAAATCTAAGGAAGGAAATATAGGAATCTTTTTTTTCCCCACAAAAAAAGCCACATGAGTTTGTAAGGCATCAAATAAATTTTTTTTCTGAATGTTCATTATCTATGCCAGAACTGTTGTCTGGTCTGTAACAGACAATGATTACCCCATAGCACAGTAGTACTTCACCCCCAAGAGTACTGATGGAGCTACAGGAAACATGGGTATTCTGTATTTGGATTTAGATTTCCTGGTTAAACACAGTATATGGATGGCAAGTGCTGAGAACGGTGTCAGATTTGTGTTACTTGTCTTTAAAGAGGCACCAAGTACTGCAGGCACAAAGAAAGTGCCTTCACGCTATGCAAGGCAGTCACCTTAGGATGAGGTATAGGATCTTTAGCTGGCAACTATTTAGAACCAGAAAAGACTGCATTTAATTGCAAACATTGAATTTTAGGGTTAATTCTGACTGTGGCTTCCAGACCTCAGAAAAATGCAAGTATTGAATAGTATCTGTCCTGCAGGTTCATCAGCACAGAAATAATATCCAAAAATACTCCCCACAGAAATATTCCCTCCCCTTCTATCATCCTAAAATGAAGGAGTCTAACTATAGCAGATTGCACAGCATGAGGCATCTTGTGCATGAAAAATCACACAATTATGAATGTTTGGATTAGTTTATATGATTGACTGATCATCCTTAAGTACTTTATAACGTAACCATTCCGCAAATTAGGCTGATGTAATGTATCCCTATCAACAAGTAATTTCCTGTATGTTTGTTTGCAGTGTTCTCTAACAGCTGCATTAAGTTTGTTAATGGGATGTGGTGAGTACATCGTGATTCCACTCACTCTTTATTCCATAGGTTGGTGAGACCAGATGCAAAAAAGTTTGCACTTCGAAATCTGATCTGAGATCCAATGATTTCAGCATCGTTGGAAGCTTGCCAAGAGATTTTGAATTATCAAATTATGACTGTTATGGGAAGCCCATTGAAGTCAACAATGGGCTCGGGAAATCTCAAGCCAAGAACAACAAGAAGCCTCCTCCTCCCAAGCCTGTCATTCCATCAGCAGCAAAGAGAATTGATCTTTATGCAAGAGCACTGTTCCCTTTTTGCTTCTTGTTCTTCAACGTCATATACTGGTCCATATATTTATGATAAATCTTTTATTTATTTTTTTCATATGTATAAAATATAACCCATTTCATTATCCCTTCCCAGTCATGAAGGCCACTGTGTGAAATTATTTGCATTTGCAAAGCAATATGTTGCATCTTGATGCCGTGCGATTGTACTGAACATATGGCATCTGAAATTTGAATGAAAGCATGACACTGCAATGTCTGTGCTCTGACCAACGTTGTATATAAATGTACAGCACACATCCTGCTTTAGGAATATATATGAAGGACAATGCATACTACGTTATAAAGCTGAATAACGCTCTTCACTTATTAGTAACATACAGAAATTTAAAGTGTTTCTGACAATGAAACTGATGTGCACGTTGAGTATTATTAAAATCAGTATTCTAGTATATGTAGTATTTAACAGCTTTTCTGCTGACTTCCAGAGGGAAAAAACCACCCACCAAACATCTTGTTCTTGTATAATTTTAGATGGCACTGTTGAAGAAAAAGCTAAGATGTAATTCATATTATTTAGACTTTGTAAGTAAAGGCAGCATCAAATAAGCAGATCTTGTCTATGTGGAAAAATAAAGATCAGAGAACTACTAATTTTGTAAAATCAGCTCATTTAGGAAAAAAACCCCAACAATTGTGTCCATGAAGCAGGCACACTTAAGTGCGTGAGAATATGCTGACAATAAAACATTGGGCCAAATATTGACTGCTGTTTCTTTAGGCACAAACTAGATACAATATCTCAAAAACAAACAAGCCACTTTCTAGACTAAAGGTATCAGGAGTTTTAGGGAGGAATCACAAGATGCAGTTCAGCATGAGGTTTGTTATACATTTTTACATTACATTTACATTATTTTGTCCTTCTATAGCATCTGGCAAGTGTGTAAGTCACTTTTTTTTTTTGTTGTTGCATTGGACACATCTTACTTGACTTGTTTTGTTTATCCCCTTGAAAGCTTTCATTTTAAACAAACCAGTTGTCAAGAATGAAATCCTATTTTCACCATATATTATACCTTTTTCGTTTGTGTGCTAGCTAACACGTAGGAGTGAAAGCATGTCCAAAGGTCTAAGGGGCTAGGACTCTTAAATATATCATGAGCCTCCTGTGGATGCCAGGGTACATCCGTTGTAAGGGCAAGTCATGCGATGAAATGCAGCCTAAAGGAAGCTGCATGTATGTAGGCATCTGAGTAGCGTGTGTTCTCTCAGAACACAGGGACTTGGCCTCGGCCCATGAGAGTGTACACAGAGAAATATGTCTCTGCTTGTAAAGCTGGGGCACCACAGCTAGTTACAACATGTGTACATGTTACTAGTTGCAATATGAAAATAAGGCAGTTCTCACTAACTTTGCAATTCATAAGAGGAAACATGAGTTACTGGCGCCTCTTGGGCTCAGAAGGGACTAATTTAAATACATGAGACCTTCCACAGTGTGGAAACAGAAACAATCCCACTTATGCTACATTTCTGGCATGCCCAGGATGTACTGAGCCAATGCAGGCCACCACAATCGGGCTGTTGCATCACTTGGGTGTTTTCCACCATGAGAATGTTGTCCACATGCAGCAAAGCCTGCACAACCAAAAGGTCCAAAGTGGGAATATAAGAAGAGCAATGGCATGCCACACTGGCTCCGCTTGGACATCTGGCAGCCCTGCATGTTCCCAGGGCCTCTTCTAACCACTGCTGCTTTGTGATCCACAGGCTGGTTGCAACTTATCATGTTTGGGTTGAAGAGATCTGCTCCTCAGAGAATGGTCACGTGTTTTTCACCAGCTCCCTGTCACTTTCTCATGAGGGTTTCAGGGAGCCACTCTACCAGGTGGCCACAGTTTGTCCTTTGGATTTCTTTCTGATCCAAGGAAATGGAGGAAAAATCCCAGCTGTTACTGAGCTGTCTTGAACCAGGGCTGAGGGAAGGGATATCTTAAAGGTCTGCTTCAAAATTTTAATAATTCTTTTGGTTGAAGGTAATTGCAGAATTGTCAAAGACTCCTAAGAAGCAATAAGGAAAAGTATAGGAGAGGAAGGAAGGGAGAGGGAACTTTTATACGTACAGAGTGCTATATTTATAGACATTATTTATTCTCATACTTGTATTTTTTCTTACAGTACTGGAAGGCAAGAAAATAATTACCCTGTGTTGGAAATTATATGAATTTTGGAAGATAATTTTCTTGTTGGAACTCTTATTAAATGATTTATCTGTAATTAGTGTCCACATTCTATCTGTAAAATCTCAATTATACATTTTATTGTTAAATTAATCTTTGTTCCTTCTTGGTTTCCTGCTTACTTGATGGCTTTTGTGTTTTATCATAAAACATTTAATCAATAATACACTGTAATTGCTTTCCAACTCACACAAAGGGAAGAAAAAGGAATGCATATTGTTCAGATAAAGGTTTTTTGTTCCTTATAGCACAAAAACTAAGGCCAGAAGCAAAGTTTAACAGTAAATTTGAAACTAAATTTAAAATGAACCAATATCAGCGATAAAGAATTAATTTTCTTTTTACTTACACTAGATAATATTGCAGTATTTGTATTACCTTGGAACATATTAGCTTGTCCTACTGAGCAGTAATAATTGATTTATTTTATTTTTCTTCTTTCCACTAAAGGTCATTGAAAGTTTTGCATGCCATCTTACATTATGGTCCTCCAGCACCCTCTAGTTGTAAAATTCTGCCTGTTGACTGATTTCAAGAATGCGGTGCAAATACAAAACTGTATAGGCAATATAGGATCTCACCTGACTGTGATAATGTGGCAGGAAAAAAACTATTATTAAATTAAAATAAATGTACATTGAATCAATGTACAGCTATAGAAACTTGCAATGCAGTATGAATTTAAAATTGAAGAAATTAAGACATTCAAGTAGTAGCAAAGATGAAGTTCATGAACTACACACTAGTAACTAGATTAACCAGTCATGATGTCTGAACAAACCGCATGACAGCAGAATCTGTTTTTGAGGGAGAGGCCATCTGTGTTTCAGCTGACATTTACTTTAAGTTCTGCTGTTTGCTGGTAGGAGAGTTACAAATTTTTGTTCTACCCTTAACATAACCCTTGGTATTTTCTTGGCTTTTAAGCCCTTTAGTTATCTTTCTACATTTTTCAGGATTTTAGAACACATTCAAACACTGCGTCAGGAATTTCCATGGAGATTAATTAATTCATTTCTTAACTGCATCCACAAATTTAAGGTAGACAATAAGTAAGGATGTGATTTGAAAAGTATATCTGCTGCTATGTGTTAATTCCCTGTAATCCATACCTCATGTTTGACATCCTGTTTTAGGAGCAGCTCTTTAGTGGCTAATGACACGTCCTCTTTTTTTCAGTTAATTCTGGCTGAGGTGGTGTATGTGAGCAGTCTGTCCTTTGAGTGAGGAAAGGAGTTTATTTTTGTAAGTGCAGTGTACAGAAGATTGACTGCTTGGAAACACTGCCAAGCAGCTTTCATTCTTCAAAGTCTTCAAATTAATTTGGACTTGGTAACAGGGTAAAGAGAGAGTGTCTTTAGCACCCTATTACCCATTAAAGAGAAAGTAGCAACACTGCCTTCTGGGGTAGTGCCAATGGGCATGACCACAGTCATTGATTTGGCTCTATAATCATTTAAAGGAAATGCACTTACAAGTAATCTTTATTTAAAATTATTTTACTCTGTAGAGAGACAATACCTTACTTAAGCAGTCTGTTATAGCTGTTAAGGGAATCTATTAAGAGACATTATAATACAGGTCTCTTCTTCAATTAAAGCAGCTTATCGTTATGGTTACTGAGTGACTTGCAATAAGGATATTTATAGAATAGGTAGCATTAAATTATTTATTTCCAAGGGAGTGCAACCTGAATATATGCAGTGCCGAGTGATTTTTCTGGCTATTGAGATATCGTAGTGCTGCAGTGAGTACACGAGGTGTGTAGGAGATAAGGGAATGATAGGACACTCTTACTGATGCTCTGGTATACTAATTCCGGGATTACAGAAGATAACGTGGAAAGAAATTCAGATAAAAAGAGATTGAATAATAGTTTTGTTTGTGTCTACAGTTTAATTTGTGTCTAACAATTTAATTGTTTTGTGTATGAGTTACCTTATTTTTATATAACTATAAAGAATAAATTTGAAAAAAAAGGAAAATTAAGCTCATATTTGGTGCCCAAAAGATACAGAAACTAAGTCTTTTCCTATGAAGCTCTACACTTAAGTAAACAGCGGAATATACAGGAAAAAAATGCACAGTTTTAAGGACATAAATTTCTCATCGCTGTGATTTTGTCTACAACATTGTATCAAATCAATCAGAAGCAATCTGGGCTGCTTGCAGCACTCCTTTGTATTCTGACTTATTTGAGAGAGGTACCTATCCCTCTACCCTGCCTTGCACCTGTCCTCCTTCCACCAGTGGGAATGGTGTTGGCAGACATTTAAAATAAACATTACCTGGCTATTTTGAAATCTTTCTTAAAGCCTTTCATTGCTACGATTATGTCTGTGCTGCAGTCACTGAAATACCCACAGCTAATGCAGGCCTATCCAAATTAACCTTAAACTAAATGTTTTGGGGAGGGCTGGAAACATCACCATGGTGACGGTGAGCTCTGGCTGGGAAGCCTACCTGCTGGCTAGGACAGGAAAAAATATGCTTGGTGTTAACCCCCACTAAGCTTTGTGCTGCCTTGGCTGTTACGCTCAAACGGTTGGTTTAAAGTTAGCTGGTGTGGGTGTTTATCAGCCCATGCCTGTGAAATGTAGGTGTATGCTGGATGACGCACCATGTGCTAGGACAGAATTGATTCTTCCCACGGGTGATGTGAAAGATGCCACTGTAAAATATTCTCTCCGTGGGTCTTGATGACATATGGGATTTCTGACGTGTTTAATTTTGTGTACTGACAAGAGCGTTCACTGGCAATTATAAAAAAATGCCAGTTTATTTTCGTGAACCAATGCACACGTGAATGAATGAGTTGGATTCACACACCTGAGCATGAACGAGGTTGCCTCCTGAGTCTAGGTCGTAAGACTATCCCTTTTATGAGCCATTCTGTTTAAAGTCCTTAACTCTAATAGAGGATATTAGATCACAGTCTTTTGAACAAATAATGAGACTAGAGAAACTAGTGAGACTAACAAGACTAAGACCGTATAGGCCTTTTTTGGCTTCCAGATGCCCGTGGATGTCAACCCTGATCTTGAGGGGCACTCCCTGATTACTTTTCAACATGGGGTTTCTCAACATGCCAGGTTCTAGAGAACAGCAACGACTGACTCCCTGCCAAGAGGGGATGTGTTTGAAGGGCCTTCAAGTTTGTTAGTCAACTCATCTTTGGAATATTGAGATACATCTACAAAGTCTGCCTGGAACCATTAACTGTCACACAGAGACAGCAGATGCATTAAGCACGTCTTTTAGTACAAGAAAATTAATGGTCTTTCCTCTTACTGCATGAAGGTATGATTTACTGTGATGGAAACCAACCAGTAAGACAATGTGGGTTACTAAGGATTTCTATCCCACCAGGCAGTTGCTTAGGCCACATATGATACTTTGAAACAAAGAAGTATGGGGACTATGGAGTACAAAGGATAAGGTATTGCATAACTGTTTTCCACCCGATGAGTTCCTGAATCTGTGGCAGTGGATAGTGTGGAGTTTTTCATATATATCTGTGTAGGTCTGTTTCTTTCTAAGAATATTCACAGTGGGAGTCATTTTTCACTTGAGGTAGCAAACTCAAGGTTTTTGGGGCCAAGAAACCCTCCTGAGTATAGCAGGTCAAGTTGTACCATTGCCCCCTGCAAAAACCTTTCAACTCCGAGGAAACCTTCTCTAGCGCCATAAATTGCAAGAAAAACCTCTGCTGAAACTAAGACTGCTGCTGAGAGGAAAAACTGTGTGTAGGCAGCCCCTGTGCTTCCACCTTCTTTCACTGTAGCATACATCATGATAATCAACAGCACTGTGTAGCTTTTCTGTTTATCAAGCTTGAGTGATTTCCTTGGCAAAAACTTCATCCATCCTACCGTTCATCTCCTTACAGTCAGAGCAAAGACTGTGTGTGTGACTCTAACAGTGTTCATGAAGGCAGGCCAGTGCTGATGTTCAAGAACAGAGGAACAGTAATATATGAGAAGACCTTGGATACCCTCGTTTCTCAAATTTTGGCATTATCTGTATTATGCCATTTCAGTTATGTCCCTATAACTCAGAGTATTGTGATATTTGGATAACATCTCACTACATGCATTATATTTTTTAGTTAAGTGCATTGAATCATGAATTTCCTGTCAAAAGCAGAATATAAAAAAAAAAGTAGTCCATGTGACATTTTTTAAAATGTTGATTTCCTCTATTAACCTTAAAACTTGCATTTGACCCAAAGGCTAGGGAAATAATGTTTCTCAGTGTTTAATAAGCCTTACATTGTCATAACAAATTTATCAATGTCTCAAGCAGATTCATTCTTCCAGATTAATTTATTTGTTTCTTTGACTCCCAAAGGCCAGCTCACTGGAAAACATTAATTTAAATACTGACTATTTCAAAGGCATAATACTGACAGGAACTGACTGTAAAGACTAATGTTTTTGACCAATACCACTCCAGCATCAATTTCTGCTTTTGACAAAGCCTGTCTTGCTACCTGCTCCTGCTTCTGACAAATCCTGTTTTGCCCCAGCCTACTGGAGGGTGTAAAATCTTTGTAGGCTTTTTAAAATATCTGTCTGATTGTGTCAGCTTCTGAGGCAGCCCTGCTCTCATTATCCTTCTGGATGTGCTTCAGGACCAGTATATTACAGAAGCAATCTTTTTTCAAGCAAATACAAATGATATACAGCATCCACTGTGAGCTATCATCTACTTTGTGGAATTAAACTTTAGTCTTTATTTAATAATTCTTCATATTTTCTAGTTGGTTGTTTCCCGAGGTGAAAACTTCTTAAATAAATAAATTCCTTAAAAGAATAAACAAATGTGCATAATGGCAGGAGAGAATCACCTCAACCTTGCATGTTTTCTCTGAACTTAAAGCTCTTGCCTTACTGTGGTGTTAAAGCCAAGAAGTTTTCAGAGGATCTGCTGAAGTCATGATGGATGCCCTACAGAAGCCTGGACAAAAACAAGAGCCCCTCTCCTTGTAGGACTTGCCCTGTACATCTCTATTCAATGCAAACTGTCCAGAGGAGAACACAGCTAGGTTTCCCAAGTCCTGTGCCTTTGCAATAATGTGTTCATCACATTCACCACTTGATGAGTTTTCTTGCATCAGAGAGGCACTTTCTTTAGAAAAATAACAACAATGATGCCATAGTAATATTCCCAGACACTACAATTTCACGGGAGTGTTTTACACCACTACTGTAGGATATTGCATGTTACGAATTTTACCATGGGAGGTTTTAAACAGCAAGGGCATATCCAAGCTGGCAGCACTTTATTATCTGTTACTCATAAACATGGCTTTATTACTTTATTTGTCATATTCTTCCATAGTCTTCCTATTTCAGGAAAAGCATTTTAAAATGGGAATTTTTCTAAGCATACCACAGCATATTGTGGTTTACTCTATTTTTTCTCCACAGGAGCATAAGGAAGAGATACTGTGTTTTACATTACAGTGCTCTTGCAGAAGCTTTGCTAGTGTCTGTGAAGAAAGTCTTGATGAAATTAAATCGGAAAAAAATTTCATGCAGTGTGCAAATGAAACAGCTAGGAATAAACCCATTTATGCAAGCCTCATGCTGAGAGTCTGATGAGCTTTGACAATTGGAATAAATTATTTTGTCTGAAAGGAGATTCCAGTCTTAAAAGACAGGATAACGTTGAATCTTTCAACAGTTTTCATTTCTCATCTGAAAAGAAAAACTTTATAGAAAAGACCAGGTAGTCTCGTCCATACTGATGTCATATCTGCACACGACCATCATGCTCTCCTGTAATATGGTCCTTCTGCCATTTCATGCTGCAAGAATTCAGTTGATGGACTTATTTCTTCTCTGACCAAGCAGTAAAAGAACTGCCGTTGTCTGACTGCGCATGGGGCACAGCTGAGGGCACGGCTCCTTGTGCAGCCCAAGTCCAGACATCATAGGTAAGTGATGGTCTGTAGCTAAACACAGGACCCAGTAAGTAGAGGCAAGTGTCTCTTCCCCAGATCTCCAGTGCAAGTTTGGCAGATTATTTCCTCTATTTTCTTATGTTCCTCTGCACTAAGTGACAGAAGACAACAAGGTGGCTTTCTCTTGCTCCAGATATCTTTNTGACAGAAGACAACAAGGTGGCTTTCTCTTGCTCCAGATATCTTTTGTATAGATTGGATGTGGCTGGGGCAAAAAATTTTCTGTTTCTATAAGTTGTACAATGCCTTAAGGCACTACTTTAATGCACACAAATAGTAATAAATAGTCATTATTAATCATAGATTCAGTGACATACAGTAGTGATATCTGGATTTGGATTCTCCCAATCTTAACATTTCTGAAAGCAGTCTGGCTCTGATTTCAAGTGCCTGATATTCCCCTTTGTTTACATTGGCTTTACACTATAATTTTTCTGATTTATAGTCAGAGGAGAATCAAACCCATGTGCATGTACACATTCTTTCCTTTAATATTGCTTCTTTCTGACATCTAAAGAAGATGTTTAAAATAACCTCACAGTTCCTTGCTTGCATCCAAATTCTGCAGAAGATTCTGCAGAGTAACAAAGGAGGAAGTTGTAGCTTTTAAAATTGTATATTTATTCATTTATAATTTAATTTAAATAAGCATAAATATCTACATTTAATATAATGACATTCTTAGGAATAAACCTTCATGAAAATAGCATGTTACAATTTTGTAAGTTATCAGTATTTTCCCCTTCTATTATTACTATTGTTTAGTTTGGCAAGTATTTGCAAAGTACATCCATATCATACCATGTATTTTTTCAGTTTCCTGTAAAATAAATCATCCCCTGCCATGACACAGAGTGAGCCACGGGATAATAAATCACATACTGGAGTAGCTCCTTCAATTGCAAATTCAGAACAAGTGTTGTTACATACAATGTACAACAATGTACTCTTTTTTAAAGAAAATGGATGATTATTTTGTATCTAATATTTAATTAGGTTGCTAATGTGAGTAATTATGTATAGTAATTAATATCTTTTTAATTACTAGGAAATAAATTAATAAAAGTGATACAGAATAATACAGATATATTTCTGGGGTTTGTTAGCTAAATCTTTGAGGTGGGAAGTTCCTGTTAGGCACTACAGTGTGTCTTTTATGGGATGTCATCCAACAGCAGTGTAGATAGAATCACCTGGGGATTGTTTTATACACAGAAAGTTAAAAGCGAGTGCCACACATCTCTCTGACTCACAGATTGCTTACTGCTGGGTTGTCTTTCATGGTTGACATTCAAAAAGAAAGCAGGGGAAGCCCATGAAGGGTGGTATTTTCAATCCATTTAGCCTCACTGTCATTTCATGGGATATTACTGTAATTGATTATCCATATGTATCACACAACCATTTGTCAATAACACCAAATTGTCTGTTCTTCTAATGAGGCACTGAATTGAGATGAACTATAATTAATAAAATTATAAAATAATCAGATGATGAATGGAGAAAATTCCACTCTGAAGCGAAACATTTATTCTGCAGACTATTTATGTGCAGTGCTGCAAGAAGCAAGGAAAGAAGCAATATGGCAATCTGCTATCTTGTTCAGCAGTAGTGCTTGGAGTGCTGGTGTGATCTGTGATTTTCCTTAACTGCCTCAAATAACTGAACTCTTCCTGTTGTGAAGAAAATCTGAAGAATATATTGCTGCTATTCTGGTATTAAAACATCAGTTAGAACTCGATGATTCTGGATACATGTTTGAGGCAAGAAGTTTCTGATCTTTTTATGTTTCCCTAGGTTTTTTAAAAGGAAATCTTGTGTGTTTTCAGTAAGCTCATTTCATTGCTTTTGACGTTTATTTGCTACAGCTGACCAACCTCTAAAATTAAGGTTCTATTTTGTTAGTATTACTAAAACCACAGGGAGCCAGCAGAATGCAGACAAATATTGGTGAGGGTTCTCCTGCAGAAAATGCCTTTCAGTGTTCTTAGTTATGTCAGATACCATCAACAAAGACTTTTTAATAATTTTAATTATGGAAAGTGAATTCATTAGATCACAACAGAAGATCTGCTTGATTTAACAGAAAAGCATTAATACTATATGCACAGTAGCTGTAACTGGTACTGACAAGTTGGGTACAACCAGGATTTGGGAGAGATGATGTATCCCTGTCATTGGCCCACATATTCCCTGCTGTGGCATAAATCCTCTCTCTCTCCATGTTATCCTTCATAGCTAGTTTACACTTAGGACAGTGATGTTTCCAAGTTCAAGGTTAGGTTGTTGTTATGTGCTTTTAACTACGATTTTTGAACTGTCCTGGAGACTGCAACAGCTCATCTCTTCATTTTTTAGCCCCTGATGCATTTATACATTGTTCTGTGTATGTGGCCCTGTAGTGGAAGGAAACCAGAAATTTAAAATTGTTCAGAACCCAGCTACCTGTGCACATCACCTCCACGCGTGCGTCTTATTAAGGGCAATGCAATTTGCATGGAACAAGGTCAGCCTCAGATTAAATGGAAACTCCATAGACCGCCAGTAATGGCTAGCAGTTAATCTGTATAACTTTCCAATACAGCACAAATGAAGTTTCAGTAAAGATAAGCAGCATCAGTTTTCTTGTCTTTAATGTCACAAATATTAGCTGGAACTTTTCTACTATAAGCTCTCATATTAAACCCTATATTTAAAGCAATTATACAGTTAGAAGAATGCTATTTCCTGCACATTTACTATGAAGAAGATGTATTTCTAGTACAAACGATGTAATTAAGTGCCTCGTAAGAATTGGTTACTTTTATCTTAAATTTCTAGTTTGCTTTTTTTCCTTCTGTAGAAGCTTGCCATAAATGCAACACTATTGCAACTAATCTCTGGGAAGATATACCAATGCAGAGGTGAAAGTAAAAATAACTTTACTGTGAACTAGTTCTGTGACTGAACCACTGAAGTGGTTTTTCAGAACTAAAAATAAACTTCTGTTGAGCAGAACTCTGTACATTTCCATGATAACTTAAGCAAACTGTTTCTTGACAAAATTGTTTTCCTAAAATAAAAATTACTGATGTCAAACAGGTACATGGTGAACCCAAATGAAAATTCTCTTGCGGAAAGATCATAATGATAAGGATAAGGGAGCTGCTGTTTCAAATCACAACAGTCCTTTTTATCTTATATCCGATTTTGATGATATTTTTAAAAGTATAGTGTAAAATGCCTGCAGTGAGTAATTGGACAAAAGAATCTTTTGGATATTTCCTGAAGGAAGAAATTATTATCTTGTCTCATGCAATTCTATCTGTTCCTTCAACTTACTTTTAATGTTGCTAAGTACTTGAGCTCCATAGTATAATTTCTGCCACAATATGTCTCTTACTAATTTTTGCCATAAAATACATTATTTTAACATTTGCTGGAGATTTTTTGTATTATTGATATATTTTTAATTTTTTTCCCTGAAAATTGTAGCAGAGACCATTTGACTGATCGATGTCTAAACTCTTACTCACTGTATCTTAAATTTCACTCTATTTTCCCATTGACAGAAGCCCTGACAAAATTATAAAACTAGAAAAGTGATCTAAATAAAATGCACTGTAATAACATAACCATTTTTAAACTAAATCCATAGCAAGAACATATGTTTTTTTTAAAAGAAGGTTTGTGAGGCTTTTTTTTATTTTTAAAATGAAATTTTAAAAAAAAATTAAGCTTTGCACAATTTGCTTATAAATGAATTTATACTCTAATTCTCAGTTACCTATGGACACATTAAACCATGTTACATTGCCAGTTCAATGTGAATTGGCTGACTGTGACTAGTGGCATTGATACAAGTGGAACCTGATGCCTGTGTGCCTTCTGATATTGTTCTAAGGTTCAAAAGGGAAACACCCCTACAGAAGAAGAAAAATGGAGCTTTCATTTACTCTCCTGGTGACTGCAGTGAATTTTGTTCTCCTTCACTGTGGAGGGAGCAGAAAAGCAGCCTGTTACTCTCGTATATCTCCCCATGCTGACAGCTAGCCAAATTGCCTGTGCTCCACCGAGCAGCCTGGAACCGGGCTCCCAGCACCAAGGGATGGAGGGAGGTGGCACACAACCCTCTCCCCCTCCCCAGTGTTGGCCTCTGATGGGTTTGGTCTCCAGGCCAAAATCAGGATTAGCCCTGGCATTGTCATTGCAGCTTCCCTGTTTGTTCAAAAAGCTCTTGGTCTCAAAGCCTTGTGCAAAGGATGTGAACAAGATTGTACAAAAACTGTTTCAGACAAGAAGTTAAGAAAGAGAGATTCACTCTAGCACTGTGGAATGTTATGAGAAGATGTCTTCCTTGGATTAAGGAGTTTAGTGGTTAGTTCTGCTGTAGTGGAAAGCATCTTTGCAAAGCTTGTGTGAATACTACCCTGAATCCTGTGCGAGGTCATAAAACAAATTATAGTGTTGATTAGCATGCAAAGCCACTGTCAGAACTTCCATTCTCAATAGGAGTCCAATGTTCATGAACTAATTTTAGATGTTGGGATACAAAAAGAAATCGAGTTGGTGATGCTCATCAGATTTGCAACAGGTTCAAATTTGAAAAAGATCAGCTGATTTCTCCAAGTTTCTAAGGTAAATGGAGTAGGCATATATTTTATGAATAGTTTTTATGTATGAATGAAACATTAAACCAAGAACGTGCCTTCCCCACACTGAGAGTGACCATTACACAGTCCATTTCCCATGGGCTGGTGTTTGCCCAGTGTTCTTGTTCAAAATTCTACCTCTGGACACTCACTACAACAGCAGAAACAACTTCGTACAAATATTCATAAAGTTAAGTGCAGCTGTAAGGAGTATGTGAGCAAGCATATACAAGGGTTTTACTATCACTGGCACATATTAGCCTTGGTTTTCAATCCGTCTGCATTTGAAGATCCCAAGCTGCTTCTCAGTGTCATTGCCTGGGATTCCAAAGATATGAGATCATCACATGGTGATGATTCTTGAGGGAAAAAACACCTAGTTTTCAGGAAATTCCTTCTGTTGTGCAGAAAAAAGTTTCAAGTCACAAGTGAATAGAAATCAGAGAGTGAGTAACACTGAAAGTATACCCCAGATATGTCAGTAGAGAACAGACTGTTAAGATTCTTGTCAGCTTGTATTTGCCTTTTAACATTTTAGCGTGTTGTTTATGAATGCAGGGAAGTGAGGTGATTTGACAAGTACTGGCAATTTGACAAGTACCGGCAATTTGACAAGTACCATACCTCAGCAGAGAACAGTCCACCAGTATATAAAATCCGATGTCTTCATCATCTCCAAAGGGCTTTTCATTCTGAATAATGAAGCAATACATTTCTCGCAGGTGACAGAAAAGGTGCAAGGCTAAAAAAGAATTTCAATGATTAAGAAATGACCTGAAAAATGGTTTTAAGGTTGATATTTCAAACACAGATGCTGGCATGGAAAAAGGAATAAGAACAAGATGAGAATAAAAAACAACACTGGAGTCAAGGCTGGCATTACTTGCGGAACAGATGGGAGAGGTGGCAGATGAAAAGAGAGAGGATCAAGGCTGACTATTATAGTCGAAAGTAAAAACCCAACGCATTTGAATTAGCTATGCTCCACAGGGGGAATTGGGAAGGTAAAATCAAAATAACCACAGAGAAAAAGACATTTTGATGGCAATGCATTGGAAAACCAGATGGAAATCAGGCAAAAATTAGGACAGGGATAAGAAATGTATCCCTTGGGTCTGAGACAAAGCAATAGAAGTTTTTATATCATTGGAAGAAAAAAGAAGACATTGCCAGATGAGAATCGTGGATTCAACATGCATAGTCTAATCTGAAAGTGTTTCTTTTATCTTTTTCCAGACGCTTAATAATGTAATTTGCTATAATCTCAGTAAAAAAAAATTGAAGTAATCTATAGCAGATTTTCCACACACAGAGTTAATTCAGCATATACTTAAGTGACTTTATTGGCAAAATAGATATAACACTTCTTGCAAAAAGCAAGAATGCAAGTAGCTTAAATAAATATAGTCAATCCCAAATTGCTATAAATTTCTCACAGTGGTTAACAAACTGCACTGTCACAGCTACAGCTGCACAGCAAAGAGAAGTGAAAGCTGTACGAGTATTACTAATTATTTTACATTAGTTGTACCACAGGGTAGTGATGTTGCTTTTTTCATCATCAGAATCACATAATAGGAGGCAGCATAAGCTATTCCTTGGAGTGTGTCCTCCCCGGGTATATGTACCATTAATGGGAACAGTACATGTTTGCTTATCAGAAGAGGAAGCAGAATGAGCATGGAAGATCAGAATGTACTTTTTATTTTTAAAAAGACTCTTGAGATCCAGAATGAACATATGGGACTATACGCTTTGAGAAAGACTTGGAACTTTCATTTGTGTTTCCTCTTTACTTACACCCACGAGTATTTGCAAAAATTCTGCAGATTTCAAAAATCCAAAGAAAACAATCTTTTGAAGGTAGTATTTATTGATTGGCCATGAAATCAGAGTATTCATTCATTGGTACAGCATTTTTGCATTTTACAAAATCTACACATTTTATGATTTTTTTATAATGAAAAAGATAATGAAAATAATTCTGAATATAAACCCCAAATATTGATAGCATAAAAGTCCAAAAGGACTCACTATAACCATTCAGTTGAGCCAAGGGCCTTCTCAGAATCTAACTTTTTTCAACAAAGATTTTTAGAAAAGAGTCTGATTCTAACTGAGCATTTTTCAGAGTTGAGGAATTAATTATGCTACTCAAAACGTGACTGCATGGTCAATGACACATTATGAAAAGAGCAGAACAAAAGATAAACTGTAGTTCTAATCTGAATGTGATGAATATCAGCATTTAACAATTGAGATTTTTACTCCATCCATCTCCTCAAATGCTTTATATTATCAAACTTACTGTTCTGAAGCATGTACTCCATGTCATCAAGCCACTCCTGAACTATCTTTTTGACAAGTATATGGAGTGATTGCTAAATATTTCTGAGCACAAGGAAAAAATTTCCAGTTCTTCAGTCACTTCCAAATTTCTTTGCATGTCTCATATGCACCTGCTAAAACATATGAACATTTAGTTGAACTAGTTGAGTGAGAGTGTGTCACTGTCTCAACCAGGATTGTGCCAGGATAAATTGCAGAGGAAATGTATTCCTGATAAATTCATATTTTACTTCTGATTAGCATGTATATCAACCTTATTAGCTTCCTCACCCAATTCTTAGCTTTCTCACTCTACCTTACATTCAGAATATTGTCCATTAGAACCTGTTAAATCAAGCATAGCCATGATCGAATCCTGCATTCTTTGCAAAAAATAGCAAACCTCTCCTGGAGTTCTACGGAATCATGATTAAACTCTTAGGCTTTTCAGGGCTCTGACATCTTATTATTTGATATCTGGCCTTCTGTCATCTGCCATTGTTTTCAGTATTATTATATTGCTATGTTCCTTTCAACAAGAGATTGATGCTTATTATTAACAGTCCCCCTGTTGATGCTTTGTTAAGATTCCAAACTAATGCATTTTTATATGAGCTTCTATCATGGATTTAAAAGAATGCATATAAGAATATAATCTTCTGTTTTTAAATTACAATCCTTACTTACCTCTTGCTAGATTCTTTTCCCTTGTGCAAAAAGTATTGAATGTGATTTCCAGTAATGTAATCTGATTTTCTCATGCACAGTGTTAATGAGTATGTCTATTCTTAGTACATGGTCATAAATTACTATCATCTACAAATTTCTTTTTTCTCCTTTGCCTGTTTTCATCTTTTCAATTAGCATAGGATTGTTATAAAAAAATAGAAAGTTGAAGAAGGGCTTCTTTTATTGTCAGCATTTTTCACTATTATTAAATTCTGATTAATCTGTTTTCTTGCTGATTGACTAGCCCATGCTGTCCTTTTGTACTTACTCATATGAAACTGAGCACATTTCTTTTTCTCTGGCACACCAACAGTAGAATATGGCCATATAGTTAGACATTTTTTTCTACATGTTCTGACACAATGATACAAATTTGAAATACTACACGCATATACATCATCTTACATTATGTATACATATACATCCTCACAATTCTGAAATGGAAAAATACGCTTTAGAAAATCAACAGCCAGGGCAATATCAGTTTGGATTGCCAGGGCAGCAGTTATTAACTCACCACGAATAATCTGTACAGAACACTCAGCTGTAATTGGTAATTAACTTCTTACTTGGATTGCTTTCATTGTACCTACCTGCTATGCTATCTTCTGCAGGTCTTTAACTTGAAAGGTGTAGCAAGGGGACTGGCATGACAGAAATTGGGCTCAGGACCTTCATCTATAAACTGTTTGACTCAGGTAAGGTTGCTTATTCTGTAGCACCTAGTACAGTGAGATCCAAACTTAGTGCAACATTTACCTGTGCTTTAGTATAAACAATAAAATAACATTTTACTGTCTAGACAGGTAAAACATGCATCATCAAGAATTATTCTTACTGTGTCTGTCACGCAGTGATGCACATGTGCAATGGCTCTGTTCTCTATGACACACACACAACAAACCCAAATCAAAAAAAAGCAAAATAAAAAACCACAACCCCCCAAACAACAGTTTAGTGATTTAAATGTTTTCCATAACTGTAAATATAATTACTTAAAAATCCTTCTAGATCCTTCCAGATTTCATTTTTACATTTTGTGTCATCGTTTTTATATTTTAGTTTATTATGCAGCTGTAATGTATATTAGCAAATATGATTTTTTGGTTTATTATAACAAAATAAAATCTTGCATCTCAGATATTTGCTTCATTTTAACCTCATTTTTTTATACATAAGAGGTTTCTTTAGACCTCGGCAGAAAAAAAAAAAATGATTTATCTGTGCTCCTGTTAAAGATTGGCAGCATTACTCTAAAGTATTTATTAAAAGTCAATTCCTCTATATCTCATTTTCCAGGGCACAGTGAGGACTTCCTGAATACAAGGTTTTCTCTGATAGCTTAATCTGTTGATTGACACAGTGACACTCTTTGCTCCTTTCACAGCAGGTGAAAGGTAGGTAAAAACAGTAGGTTTTACCATGGAGCACCAAACCTGACTTTTGGGAGGGACCAGGCTGGGGGAGAGAGCAAGGAAGGGCAGTATCCACCCAGATAGGGCCATAGGGGCTAAATACTCATGATGTTAAAGCTCTCTCTCTTTTTTAGGCTCATCTATTGTTGTGGGAGAGAGAGAGAGAGAGAGATTTGATTACACAAGTACAGACAGAAGCTAGAACAGAATTTCATGGTGAAATGACTCAAAGGAAACAAAACTCATCATCAATTAGTGATTGGTAAAGGGCCTCAAAATGCCTACTTCCTATGTGTTCAGGATACGTACTCATATCGACATCTGAATATCTGAAGCTTTGACACCCTCCTCCTGGGAAGGAGAATCATGATAATTTAATAATTAAGAAAAAAAAAAAAAAGAAAAAGAAAAAAAGGAAATGCAATGCAAGATCAGTATCCTTTCCTGCCAAAAAAAAAAAAAGAAAAAGAAAAAAAGGAAATGCAATGCAAGATCAGTATCCTTTCCTGCCTGGACATTTCCCATCTTTGTAAACAAAAAATAAATTAATTAAAAAATATACTAGCAGATGATAATTTAATAGCAAATTCATTGTCATGGTCACAGTAATGCTACACTGCCTATTCTTCTACAAGATGTGTGTGTGTGTGTGTGTGGTGCACAGCGACAGACTTCATGCCAAACTGAGAAATGTTAAATTTAGCTTGCAGTAAATAGCATGTCTAGCTAATACAGCTGGAACCCATCTTGGAAAAGAAAAAACCCACAAATCCCCATTATGCATGAAAATGAAATATCTGAAGAGTTTTAACCCTTCCTGCATATTAACTACGGTGGTTTGGGTTCAGTAGCTATATATGTATATAAATATATAAGAAAAAAAATATATATATGCTTTTCAGGTGTGTTTGGAAGGAGAGTACATCCTGGGGAGGGCTGTGAAATAACTAACTAATCAATCCGAACGATCCGAGGCCGCTGTCCGCGGTGCTGAAGGTTGGCGGCCGCGCGCCGCGGGCGCGCGCAGGGGCGGGGCGCGGCGGCGGAGGGGGCGCGGCGGGCGCGC